AATCGTTCTTGAGTTGACACCTAATAATATAATAGTAAATGGATAGTAAAGTTGGGTTGGGCATTGGGGCAAAGATAAGACAGGTATCGTTGTCAATGTATTTTTTTATTCCCAAACCTCAACTGTTTCTGTCTCATCCATCCATGTCCATTTGTAACTTATATGTCTGGTTAGTGTGTCGCTTTCTATTTGCTCCGGATTCCATACCGGATTCACAAGAATGTTTTCATCACCCTTTTTTATAATTGGAAAATCAATAATTTGTTGACATTTGCTTTTAATTAATCTATGTAAAATGTAACTATCTTGTTTGGTAAAGGTTCAATATTAATCTTTTCAATCTCATTAGGGGGCATTTGTTTACAAATTTCCTAGTTTCAATTAGTTAAATACATATAAGACCTGAAAGTAAACTTAATTTAACATCTTAAAGCTGCTATTAATATTATTATTCAAAGACATTATGTTGGTGTTCTAATATAAGAATGTAAAAAGATTGAACGATCCTCTAATGCTTACCCTTGTTGCCTTCAATAGTTTGGCATTCAACGTAAATGCCCCAACATTAACCGTATGGATCCACCAAAATCTTAATCAACTGCCTAATAGCTTGGCTTTTCCATCCTCCCACATAATCACCATATTACTTTGTCCTTAATCACAATGTCATTGTCACATCACCTAACTAAATTCTCCTAATCCAATTCCAATGTCTTGCTTTGATCTCCAACCCTTATAGACATTTTAGCACATTAATTAATTGTCTCTTCTTATAGTAAAATTAAAACAATAATAATCAAGTTGATCACAATTATCTTTACACATAAATAATCACTCATTTTAATCCGTATATAAATTTAACAGGTAAAAAAAGTTATAGGTATTCTAACAAATACATCCAGACAATTAGCCTATTTTTAGTTATTTTGTCATTCTTAAACAATCATAAAACTAGTTTGACCTTAATTCAACTAAAAATGCAGTACATTTAGAATGAGTAATAAACTAATAGTAAGTATACAAGGATTTTATATTCTAATAAAACTCTAATTTTAAAGGGTAAAATGGTCAATTTAAAAATCATTAGTAGTCGGTTACATTGTTGCTTGTTTTTCCCAACTATTGCGGTGGGAACAAATCCTGTCCCACACCGAAAGATGGGGAGAAGCATAACAAACCATGACAGGCGTTGACCAAAGAACAGAAGACTAGAGTTACTTAAATGAATGAATCTAACCAGTACCAAAGATTAATTAACCATGGTTAGTGTCCGTAGAGTTAGGGTCTCGGACAAGATGAAACTTTTAAAAAGTCAGCCTTGATTTCAGAGCTGTAAACGAGAGAAAAACTCGAAAAAATATCGTGATATGATGGTGAAAACGAGAAAAAGGAAAAATCTTTACACGATATATATATATATATATTTTTGGGGATTATTAAATTAACACACGAAATTAAATAAGGTTCAGTGAATTCTTGTGTACTACGTATTTTATTAATTGGATGCTTCTTTTCCTGATTATTAGCGGTTCCGTTCCCACTCGCTTGTCTTTCGCGTGGCAGACACTTTTGGTCAAATTGTGCC